CTAGTGTGTGAGACACGGGAGGCACCAAAGAAAACAACGTTACGGCGACCAGAAAGACTAAGACGACAGCTTAATAAAAGGGGGTACAAGTGTGGTGCGCGCTACTCATAAGTAGTATATGACGCGAGTAAAAACGTAATGTCTGGCAGCAGAAGATGAGGGAAGATCAAGAAAGAAGAGCGGCAACACAATGGGATTGGTATGAAACGCATGAACAGTGAAATGTCAGACAATGAATTGATGTTTGCAACAGGAACAGTCCAGTTCGATATGATGGATTGATATTTTGCAAATTAACGATTTACGATATGGTTTTCCTATTTTACCAATTAACTCTGTAAGTCGGTAGCCCCAAACTCTGTTCTCCTTCTCTACACTGTTACAAAGTTAAATACATTCAGTTATGCGTAAATCACAGCCACCACATACCAGTTATTCGGAGGACATGTTGATCTGCGCACATATCGCTCGATTTCAATCATTTACCTGTTAGTTATTAATGGCTGCTTTCTAATAATATCACCTCATAATTAATTAGTCAATTGATATATAGGAAATTATTGACCTGAATTATAGATTTCAAATGATTGACGGATTAAAACTACATAATCAAAACTAGAGTTCCGTAATCATATACACCTAAACTAATTTCACGTGGCATTTATTAATGATCGATAATAGAAATCATTCGTTGAACTATTTATTTCAGTCGACTATTTGTTAGAATGAATGCATCTGTGACTTAAAATGTTAACCAGCTTCCGACACTAGCTATTATGATTATCTAGTGAATTATTGTGTAGGGTGCAATGTGTCATCAAGAGATCTACTCGAGATTACGAAAATAATTCTGATAACACCAAATCAATACGAGTGATTTACATTCCGAATCATGGAGTTTCGTTGCACACACAATCGTACCTGTTACGTATTTTCGCCAACATTTTCTCATCAAATTGTAATTGCATGAGCCAGTCAACTAGCCTATTGTGGTCTATGACACTCATAACATAACATAAATTATTACTGCAAATAAAAACTAGAGCACCTCTGCACTTTAGGGACTACACAAAATCTTTGAGTTCATTGAAACTTTCCAACATCATATCTTTCATCATTGATTATCATGTATTTGCAACTGTATGGATTATAAACAATATGAAGAAGTTCAAGAAGAATACAGAAAACAGAATTTTTCTTAGGCATTTCTAAATACACTGTACGTATCAATCTTAAATGTAACAAGTTATTCCTAGTGTCTTGGAACTGAATTCATTGTTCGAAAACCACTGTGACATTACTTCTCAAAGTTGAATCATTGACCGATAACGCATATTTTAAGATATAAAAATTAGTTACTGAAATAGTTGTAAACACTGATGATGTTACTGAGACACTACCACGTGAATAGCTGAAACGTCATGTTATTCATAAAGTATAAGGTGTGGAAAAATACTTACTTTATTACTAAATGCCTTTAGAATCCTTAAAATCTCAGTCCTACTAATGTTAGCTAAACTTATATCTTATAAATCTCATCACATTATTAGGATACAAATCCGACAATTATATATTCACTTCAACATCAATTTCGATGTATCGTGAGTTGACTGAAATCTTATTTTTCTGAAGTTCGAAACTATGTAGGAATCGTGAGCGACTGCTTTCAATTACATTCAACAATGTCCACAGTGGAAAAGTTGCTCATAGCATAGTTCCGTTGTTAAATTGTGTTTGCTCAGCGCCAACACCATCGTTATTGGTTAGGCAATCTACAGATCACGAGACAACATTTTCAAACTATTCAGTTCAATAACTGACTGAATCAAATCTGTGATAGATGTTCAAACAATTTTTCCTAAAAAGATGTTACTGGACTTCTGGATACGAAGATATTAATCTGCCGAACCAAGTTTATTGCATAAAATACCAACATCCATGAACAATTTATGGGTTCCGAATGTAGTTCTCGTAACACTTCATGCTTTTATTTAACTATGGTAATAAAAGCCAATAAAAGCTCTTGACTGATTGATACTAAATGATTGGTTCACTGATTGCAAGATAATTGGTTGTATTGAGTTTTCCACGTTAGTTTTTTTCTAATACTGTATCTCATTTTCTACCAATCAACTATTAGAAAATCTACAAGTTGAAGCCGCAATTATGATTGGTTGTTGAGATTTCATTAGCATGAACGTATAAAATGTTCAGCAATTGTCCTGATCTATTTTCCGTCTCTAAATTATTATTATTTATAGCGTTTGCTAGTCACCAAACTCTACGCAGAACAATATTTCCAGTATTTTGGCGTTACAATGAAACTGGCGTTTGTATGATGAATTTGTGCATATTATAAGTAACATATTACGTTTACATAGGTAACTGGGTCAAACAAAGGCATTGGGTATAGCATTGTTGAGAAGCTTGCAGAATTTTATAAAGCATCAGGAGAATGGGATATTTATCTAACAGGTGAGTGAGTAGTTGTTGCTTGATAATGTAACAGCTCGAAATGTTGAGCTTGGTCAGGAAGCGGTGAATAAGCTCAATAACAAGGGTCTGAATGTTAAATTCCATCAACTAGATATAACGGATCCGGATAGTCGAAAAGCATTTTTAACATTTATAGAGAAAACCTATCCTAATGGAATCAACATTGCAGTGAATAATGCTGGGATTGCCTATAAAGTTGTGCTTTTTCTTAAAATTTCATATGGCATTGTAGGCTGATTCTCCAGCTTCATTTGGAGAGCAAGCTCGAGTCATCTTAAACACTAATTTCACTTCGACCATTGATTTTACAGAAGAGTTCATTCCTTTACTAGCTGAAAATGCCAGGTAAGCTATCAGTGACAGTTCATACTGTTCAGAGTCGTCAATGTATCTTCTACTCTATCTTTGGTCAATTTGAAGAATCTTAGTGATGATCTGTACAAAAAGATCGTTGGCCAAATGAATCTGTCTGAGTTGAAAGAAATTATGGAGGAATTTGTAAAGTAAATTTTCAATTTTGATCCAGTGTTCACTGCTTATTGATGTCGAATACCGTAATTAACTTGATTTGATTCCATAATTTCATAACTCGAAATGATTACTGTTGCTAAATATAATTGTGCAATTTTCTCAACTTTGCTTTGCCTTTCAGAATGTTAGTAGTTAATTTGCGAAATGTCTTTTTACGTCGATTGTGTTTCGTAATATAATTGACGTTTTGACAACAACTCTTGAGATTGCGGTTGTATGCCTCCTCCATGAATTAGTTTAGTGGATTCAGTTTTGTATAATTACAGAATTTTGCTGTTCCATGAAGTGTATGATTCTCTTAGTTGGTCTTTTATTCAACTGCTTTAACTTCAAACTTTAATTAGGTCTGCTGAGGATGGTACTTATTCTGAAAAAGGTTGGCCGTCAAGTGCGTATGGAGTATCTAAAGTAGGCCTGACGAAAGCTTCATATATTTTGGGTGAAATGCTGAAAGATGACCCGAGAGGCATTGTGATAAATTCGGTAAGTTCATTGTGTCGATATTTCAATGATTTGTATTTATTTTCGAATAGATCTTTTAAATCTTACGACTAGAATAGTAACAGAAATAAGAGCAGTATTTGTTGCAACTGCTGGATTGTGAGATGTGCTTTAATGAGTCTGCAATCGGAGGCACTCATATTTTCTTCCTGATATATAAGGTTTTTTTATGATTAATAGCATGTAAAGGCTTGTCTTATTTTAATGGTTCGTTACTTCCCGATTCACATTTCCGACCCCTAAGGTTTCCCGTCACCAATAATAGTGTTATTATGTCTACAACTATGGTGTTTGAACTGACAAGTTCATCTCTCTGTGCTAATGTGTTATGGCCAATTGAACTGATGCGCGTGAGTACAGAGTTCTACGTTGCAACTGACCGTCCGACTGTAGAAGGCATATTTTATGAATAGCACCATCGAAGTGATTATCTATGATTTTGTTATTGCTTGCAACTGACTAGTTTTATTTTCAAAATCTCGTTCAATCGATATCCATGGTGATTATGGCAAACAACAACCTCCCTGACACTGAAATGAATTAAATAATTTTGTGAAGCTGGAGCTATCATTCTATTTTTTCATTTTTGTGATTTTGGCAGTGTTGTCCTGGTTACGTTGACACTGATATGACTAGCCATAAAGGAACGAAGACAACCGATGAAGGTGAGTGTATAACCATGTACATTTATATGTGAATATATATTTTTTCTCTGAAATTTCGATAATTTTGAATTGCGAAGCAACTGAGTATCACAATAGTGTGTTCTTGTTTGACATTTGAGTTGAAATTATTGAATATGGTGATCGATTGCAACATAGGTAGAAAAGTACACACAAAATCAAATCTACTAATTACATTCTAAACAAGATTTCCACTTAACGACAGCGTTTGAATATTCCTTGATCTTGAGTCTAAACTCATGTGGAGTTTCGTTTTTCCGTGTTATGACATTCTGTTCATGATTCTCCACCAAATTGAGATAGTTCTTTGAAAGTTATGTGTGAAGTACCCAGCCAATGTGATTGAGTATCTATCGAGAAAAATCCTTCACTTGATATTATTGGCCTGGCTTTTTCGGAACCACTTACTGAGAGTAAGCATGTACCGAAGTCGTTTGGGCTTCACATTTCGTTGTTGAAATTAATTGAGCACAGTACAGCAGATTACAATTGAATGATCAGCTATGGTTAGTCATGAGATCGAATTTCGTAGGGTAGGTGATAAGTATATTTAGGCGAAGGTAAAGTCACCTCATATCAAGACATATGATTGTAGTTCCGATGTTATTTCTGAATGTTTGAGGAATCAATTTTGGTGGAATGTGTGTACTTTCCCGATACCAGTCAATGTATGTCGTCAATAAGCAGTTCGGATATTGGTAGATTCACTGAAGCAGATTGGGTGGTTAGCAAAATTACATCAGTCACAAGTGTTTGTAGCAGAATTTGATGCTGTTTTATTTGTTGTAGGTGCTGATACACCATTTTATTTGGCCACATTACCAATTGGCTCAAAAGAACCAGTCAATCAATTTGTGTACGAAAGGAAGGTGGTTAATTGGTGCAAATGATTTGAGGAAGTTGCACAGAATGTGTTAGCTGAATTTTCTTGTGAACATTTGTAATGCTAGAGGCTTGTTTTAATGTTTGTTAAGCGATGAATCATGATGTTTCTTAGTCTAGTCTTTCTATGAATAGAAGCTGTTTATACCTATGGTTTATATTCGTATTCTTACCATCATGATTATGTGTTCGACTGAACCATGTTTTATTAAAAATAAATGTTCTTTGGTTTCTTCAACTTTTTGTTGGAATGTTGTTTTTCTTTGTTGATGTATTTGATTTTGTGGCTATGAAGATGTCGAAGAGCGGAGTGAGCTTAAGGTAGGGCTGATAAGAAGCCTACGCAATGATCGCGAAGAGTGGTGGGTAGCGAAAGCAAGGTACGGAAAAGGCAGTGGCAATGGGTAACACTAGGCAACTATTCAGACTTATCAAGCAAACCTACATTAGAAATCTGACTGTGAGTGAATGAGTGAGTGAGTGAGACTATCTCGAAAAATGATGAGCGTATTATTCATCGTCAATGCAGAAGATTGGATCGATGGTGAGAACACTTAAGGGAGCAGATCAACTGTCCTTCGGTCACACTCCACTTACCCACCATCTCTAGTCAACCTGATTGGCAAGTTCATTCTTGTCCTCCTCCACCTCCTCTTCCTCAGGACGAAGTTGAAAAAGGTGTAAATAACTGAAAGTGAGGTTGAAACGGAGTGGCTGACTGGCTTACCTCAGAGATTCTTATGTATGGTGATCCAGTTTAAGCAGTTAGATTGACTGAGATGTTAGGTAGAATTCGATAACTGGACGTAATCCCATCCGACTGGTCTCAATCGCTGATTGTCTGTGTCTATGATAAAGGACAGAAGTACTCTTGTGACAATCACAGAGGAATCATGTTAACTAATATTGTGTATAAAATATTAGACTCCATAATACCTTATAGACTAACTAGAGCTCGTGAAGATCAGACTTGAGAGAACCAGGTTGGATTCAGAAGTAGATGTGGATGTATAGACCAGACATTCACACTTCGTCAGGACCCAGAACACACTCATTCAAACGTCCCACAGTGTTTCTACTTGTTGAAGAATGTGACAAAGTACAGACTCTTCGTTTAACCTTAAGCTAAATTTCTAGTATGTTTTGGATGCGATTGTCACCCTCCAAATACATAATGTTGTTTCAGGATTTGCTTGCATCGGCAGGTGAACTAGTGATAGGGAGTGAATTAGTTGAGCGTGTTGATCGCCTTACTAATCTGATGAGTCTCATCACTGCTGTTGGCCTGGTATCTGACGAATTCTGAGCACGTATATAAAATGTTCGATTGTCTTTTGCCAACCTGAATTACTTATGGTGTATGTGAGATATCCGTCTGCTAACCAAAGGTCGAGTCTACTGCGCATCGTTTCGTTCCGTCCTACTTTACGGGTGTGTAACATGGCCAGCTAGAGTAGTGTATATTGGTAGGTTACTAGTATTCGATCATAGGTATCTTCAAAGCATTCCTCGTATATCGTGGAACCATTGAGTAAGCGATGCTGGTGTTACGAAAACGGGTACTAGGTAAGGATGGTAGATCAATTGGTGAAGTAGTGGATGCTGACCAACTGAGGTGGTTGAGACGTGTTATGTATGTCCAACCAACGGTCACCCGAACGAGCGATGTTGTCTGATGTAGGTGTAGACTGGATGAAATCTAGTGGTGACTTATGCAAAACATGGTACAAATCCGTGAAGTTGGCAACTAGACTGATCCATGTCAGTAGGTGAGGACTAGCAGGTTGCGATCCGCAAGACAATAGTAACCGATGGTTGGAGACTGAATGACATGGCTCGAGATTGCCTGCATTGGTGCAGATGCATCCATTCCTTGCCTTGTCTCAAATTCTCATCTAATCATTTTTCTCTTTAAATTTGCCTCACTGGATAGTTCTGGAATCATATCTTCGAAGCCTAATCTTCTCAATTACAACTAATAGTTCTCTTTCATCTACCACTATGAGACTTGAATTGGCAGTAGCATCTCTGAGCTAATGTGGTATGCCAACTTGTACGTACGGAGTTCTACGTTGATAGAAATCCTAGTAACTACGAAAGTCGCGGCTTGGAAAGAATATTACTTTTCATACCAATAGACCATGCTTATTACCTTTCACTATTTCACACGCAATTGAGCCGGCATTGATTAGACTTTCTAACGAAACAGCAAATTATGTAAGAAATAAAATTGAAGCCAGATTATTACATCAACAACCACACACTTTTAATTAAAGATGAATAATATGCATTCAGAACATTACGAAATGATAGGACAATTATCATTACAAGAGCGGATAAAGGGAACACAACTGTCATCATAAACAAATCACACTGTGAGAAAAAGGCCAATGAAGATCTCCAAGATGGCTCTTATCAACAAATTAAAGAAATAAAACAACGGAAAACACAAAAAGATTAGGGCTGAAACAAACAAAGAATCTATTCATGAATCCTTCACAAACCACTGAGATCACGAAATCTGTAAGTCCGCCTAAAGTTTACTTGCTACATATGGATGATATTTGTGCCATCAGAAAAATTAAATGCATCGGAAATAAAGGCTTCGAAGTGTAAACAGCATCTTTGAAAGTATCAAACTAACCAAAGTGATGGAATCCACTGACAACAAACCGGCGTTTCTCGATTGTTTTTAATCGAAAGAGGACCTAATAAGTTATAAAATAATGTATTTTGAATACCACCAAATTCTGTTCGTCACAGGCTTACGGTGCGAAGGTGACAGTGGTAAAAAATCTAATTGACATTTGGTATCATCTGATGACACAGAAAGAAGACAAATAGACTGAATTCGATAAAATATTATCGCCATTACATGTCAACGTTTATCCAAAATCATTTTTTAGAAAGATTGTCAAAAATGAGTGAAAAACTAAATTAGAATGTGAATATATCCAACGTCGGTCAACTGTGTCCATCGTTGCCAGACTACTCAAACTTCACCGCAATCGTGTTATCTACTAGATTACGATGAATACACGCCTCACGATTATTGCTTAAGCTAGATTATACTATCGTCACAACCATGTGACTTGCCATAATAAATAATCTTAATAGGTAACAGCATATACTGGTATCAATAATTAACAGAAATACAA